TTTGTTGGGCCATGGTTGCTTTAGTAGTATAGATGTTTCCAAAGGATCTTCTTGTTTGCAGTTCTTCTCAGGGGAACGAAGGTCTTCTGATGATGTTCAAAAGGGTAACAGCACGACTGAGACCTTCAACTGAAGGGTTTAGGGGTTTAGGGTTTAGGGAGTTGGCTACTCTACTTTGACAGTATAGGTCCGTGACTACAAACTGTGATGTGCAACAATTTCGGGCAAGGTATGCCAGGTATCCTTGTGGTTTTCAAGTTCCTACTATTTTCATGAGTGATTTGTATGTCTAAGTTTGCTTGTTCGTTGTTGATCACGACTATGTGACAATGTGCATGCTGCCATGCGCGTGCTGGGTGCAATAGTCGTGAACGTGCTATTCTGATTCTTGTTACTTCTGTGGTTGTTAACTGCGTAGCGGTATGTGCTGGTGTTGATGAGGTAACCGGTATACCATGCTACTTGCACGGTATCAATACACTAGCCATACTGTGGTTGTCATACCATGAACTGTCAACCCGAAACCCACAAATGTCCCTTCTGAGCTTCAGGGGTCGGAGTTATCGATGCCTACACTGAAGTCATTGAAGGCTGTCGGTTTAGTTTCTGTTTAGGTACAGACGAGAGGAGACCTGAAAAGAGACTAAGGTCAACCCGAAAAGTCAGAACGCCAGAGCATGCCAGCCCGTCCTTCCTACAGCGACCCTAAGCTCTTACAGAGCACTGCAAACTTACAGTTTTAAAACACTCCAAACCGTAAAAGCCCTAAAGAACCCAAACCTTAAACTTAGTTCAACCCCCCCCCGGTCACATATTCTAAAGCCTTTTTAATGTTAAATCCACTCCAACCCCAGCCGAGTAGTGACATGACGGGAGGTTTGGGCTGCGATTGAGGCTAGAAGGGCGTGGTGGGCTGGCTTTAGGGTTTAGGGTTTAGGGCCGTAGAATGCCATACATGTCAGCCCGAGACCAGGAAACACCACCCCTGGATCGCAAGAGTAGGGCTAGCGCAGCTAGGTTCAAGACATATGACCTATGTTCACCTTAAGGCTTAACCTCAAACAACCTAATTTCTAAAAATCTAACCGGGTTGGAAAAACTTCGAAAAATCCTACACCCTGAATCCCCAAACCATCTTTAGCCCCAATAAACCCAAATTAACCCTAAAGCCGCTTAAGGGTGAGGGTTTAGGGCTGAAGATGGTTTAGACTTCAACCCTCAACCCCTAAACCCCTAAACCCTAAACCCTAAGCCCTAAACCCTAAACCCTAAACCCTAAACCCTAAACCCTAAACCCCTAAACCCACAACCCCTAAAGAGGCCCCCTGCGATGAGATGGGGAGCTGCTCGAGCCAGCCCCTGTCGACCGAAGGGCCCAGCGCGGTGTCGGCCACCGCCTCGGTTTCTTGGTGCCTTTGTTTTGGGGTTTAGGGTTCAGGGTTTTGGGTTTGGTGCCTTTGTTTTCTTCGGTTGTTGATCGGGAGTTCAGGGTCTTTGAGGGTCTGAGATCTTGTGGAATTTGTGGCTAGGGTTTGGGTTTTTTGTCTATAGGGTTGTTAGGGTTAGTGCAAGGGCTGCTGTAAGGGTCTGATATGGGTACGATCGATTTGGCATCTGGGGTTCTCGGGGATAAAGGATGGTCTTATTGGGTTTACCTTAACCCCGAATAACTAACCGTTTTAAGGACGTATATATAGAATCCATAGTATGGAACGCTAAAAAAGTAGGTTCTTTAGGGTCCAGGTAGGGTTAGTAAGAGTTCCTTACGGGGTACTTACATTTCGGGATGCAGGGCTTTCGGCCCTCAGGGTTCTAGCGTTCAGGGTTGCAGGTTGAGCTCCGTTGTATTTTGCGCGGTTTAGGGTTTAGGGTTTAGGGGGGTTTAGGGTTTAGGGTTTAGGGAGCCGTCCTCGATTGTTCAAACTGCCGTTAGCCGTTGCTTTGCCCCAGCCAGCGTGGTACGCTCTATCTGGGTCGGTGGTGAGGTTCCATCAACCACCACTGCAGCGAGGTGTCCTTAAACCCTAAACCCTGAACCCTAAACCCTAAACCCTAGACCCTAAACCCTGAACCCTAAACCCTGAACCCCAAAGCCTTTCAATACGATTGGGCCCTGGACTTTCGAGCTGCAGCGACAAAGACTTCACCACAGGTTCTGAAGCCTAGCCATGATTCACTGGGCATTGGCATAATGAAGGGGCCTTAATAATTCGAATAGGGCTTGGGGTGGGGTATATTCTACTATAATACTAGAGAAATTTAGTGTAGCAATGATAATATTAACAATAACAATATGGAGCCCCCAAAAAACTAGGGTTTAGGGTTTACATTAACCTACCAAAACCCACTTCTTTGTAGGTTCCCATTATAAACCCGGGGACCCTGCAAAAAAGTAGGTAGAGTTTAGGGAAGTTTAGGGTACAGTCTTCACCAGAGCTGCAGACCCGCCTGAAGCAAGCAGCCAAAGCCCCGAGGCCCTAAACTCCCAAATCCTTTCAATACCTAAGCCCTATACCCTAAACCCCTAAGCCCTGTGTTGTGGATCCTAACCGAGACCTCGGTAGGCATTGTCAAAACCAGCATTGGCGATACCCCTCTTGCAGGAGTGAGACAGTGACCCTTCAGGTTTAGGGTTTATATAGAGTTGAGGGTTTAGGGTGGGTTTTGGGGAGGTTTAGGGACGCTGTAATAACGATTTTCCACCACGGACCCCGGCCAACGCCATAAGCCCTTGGGCCGGCTTGCTTTAAAACCGATATCGCACACTGAAAGCTGCTCGAACTGAACCCTTGCGAGATAGGCTTCCTATACACCGAATTTGCCAGGGCCATGTTCACAGGAAGTTGGCGCCCATGTGGGTTCTGAGACTAGGCTGATCTGAACTCTCGTGCTGGCTGCAGTCGAAGGCTTCACTGCACTGGTTCAGGATTTTGGAATGAGCGGAGTGTGACACTGCCTTGAGCATGCTTGAGGAAGCTCTTGTTTCTGTCTAATGTAGGGGCCTCAATAGTTGGAATAGGGCTTTGGGGTATATTTTACAATATTCATAATAAGGACCCCCCCCCAAAAAAAAATAGTATAGGTAATTATTTAGGCCCCTATAGTACCGGTCACAAAATGTTTGACTCCAGGGGTAAACTTGGAGGCTTGGGTGGAGGCTGTTGCATTTTGCTCTGACCTTGAAATTTGATGCCAAATGCTCACATGCCTGGCTAGGGCTCGAGATGTAAGTGCGTCGGGGGTTGGCTGTTTAATTCTTTCCTGTGGTGGTGATGTATGTCATTCCAGGCCTACGAAGCTGTTATGCTTCTGCCGTAAGCCAGTGATATTTGTGAAGTGCTCAGGCTTATGTCCTGCACGCGTCTCTGCATATAAATGTGCCACTGAGCCCGTATATTGTTACATGGTTGAGTACTGCGAGTCAGTTTGGTACATGCTCCGGCGCAGCATTCTAACTGGCATGCTAGTAAGTTCATTTGACTCAGGGTTCTCTGTCCGTCCACATGTCTTGCACAGACACGAAGGCTTCAACAACCGAGGAGTGTGCAGGACTTTCTCAAGATGTCGGGAGTTCCGCCCATGCACCAGGAGCTTTGTGATGTTCGGTTTAGGCGGATTTTGTTCTTGGACACCCCTCGGCCTTCTTGGTGGAGGATCTTTGATGGCCCAGACTTCGGCGTCGATTGGTTTTGGGGTTCGGCCGTCGAAACCCTAAACCTTATAAACCGTAGAAGTTCTTCCTCTCAGCCATGAGAGGGAGACGCAGAAGCCGGAGCAGGAAAAAGACTCCAAAACCCTAAGTCTTTTAGTTAGGGCTTAGGGTGTAGGCTTATGGGGTTTAGGGCTTTGGGCTTGGGTTTAGGGCTTGGGGCTTAAAGTTTAGGGCTTAGGGTTCTCGGTTTAGGGTTTAGGGCAGCGGATCCTGAAAAGGGTTTGCAAAGCGTGCTTCTGGGCACCTGGGTGCCTGCAAGCGTAGATGTGTTCGTACTGGAATCACCCTGGGCCTCCCACCCCAATTATTTCCCTACTTGCAACCTACTCCCCTGAGCCTCCAAGTAAGGCTTGTCAATGACCTGGCGGCCACGGCCACGAGACACTAAACTCCAAAACATAAACCCTGGATAGTTCGGAGTTGTGAGCACGGAAACCACCAGGAGCTAATGGGGCAGGGGCTGCTGGTGGAGGTGTCGCGGCAACACGTCAGAGATGCTAAACAGTTCTTGAGCATACTTTATTCTAAGGGGGCTCACTCAATAGTCGCTTAGAATAGGGTTTCGGGGCATATATTAGTATGATAACTATCCAGGTTTCTATTTCTCATAAGGTCCGGCTGTCCCTTAACTGACAGTAGTTCCTTTGGTTTCGATGTTCGTCGGTGTTCAGAGTTTAGAGTATGGGGGTTGGCGCACGTTGGGTTTTCAGAAACCCGCTATGCGTCGGCGGAAGAATGGCAGTTCAACTCCTTTAACAACACTTTTATGTAGTAGATTGGCGGTATTTTGGCCGGAGTCTTCTTTCATTTGGCAAGGGTCTGCGCGCCCCAGTGATCAGCGCTCAGATGGCTTCTGAAGATTGCCCCAGATGGTGAATAGATGTGATGCTCCGGGCTCCGTGGTGATTTGCGCACTAGGACTGTTGATGAGTGATTTTCGTGCTGCGCGGATGTGTTCAACGTTGATTTTTCTGTTGTGATTCCCAGGTTGTCGTGCGATCGAATCCGTTGCTTCTTGCCTAGAAGCCTTGAGAGTGGCTCTGAGCCCAAAAATCGGTTTGGGGCTTAGAGTGACCAGAGCATTAGCAGGCCCAGAAACACAAACCCTAAACCCCAAACCCTAAACCCTAAACCCTAAACCCCAAACCCTAAACCCCAAGCATGGCATTGAAACCCTCATGCGTCTGGAATCTCCTCGGAGCTCAAGAACCCGACGCCTGCCATTTTATTAAACAGCCCTAAACCCTAAACCCTAAACCCTGAAAGCTACGGAAAGAAGCGTTGCCAGGCGCAACCTTCCTTCCTGGTGCTTTTTGTTTCGCACCAATGGCTGGGAGGTAGTGGCCCGACTGCAGTTGCAGGGCCTCGCTCGGGTAGCTCCAGTTGTGACACACTGATCTGGCGGAAGTGGGACACAGTGCCGGGGTCTTGTCGGGCTTAGATCAATTCACTGAACGCGTAGAGAGAGGCAAGAGAATCTTGGAAGGGAGCAGGGAGACCCCGATGGTGCCGGTGAGGCCTAGTTCGATGGCGCAAGGGCGAAGGGCCCTGCACAAGTTGGGGATCCGTGAACTTAGAGCAACTAGAGGGCTTGGGTTTGGAGTTCCGGGTACAGGTGAGGGTGGCGAGAGGGTGCCGGCGACACGCCAATGGCAAGGATTCACTGGTGCCGACGGCGGATAACCTGTTTCGGATGGATGGATTTTGTAGTAAACCCTAAACCCTAAACCCCTAAACCCTAAACCCTAAACCCCTAAACCCGAACCCCAAACCCCCTAAACCCTAAACCCTAACCTGTGTCGGGTTGACTTTGTAGGTTGACATGCTTGCAAAGGCCATCCAGACGCGACTGGAGCCCAAACGGGCGTCCTGCGCAGCATCCTGCGGAACATCATCGAAGGACACACGGAGGCGGGTTCAGGGTTTATGAGGTTTAGGGTTTATAGGGTTTAGGGTTTATAGGGTTAGGGCTTATAGGGTTTAGGGCTTAGAGGGTTTAGGGCTTATAGGGTTTAGGGCTTATAGGGTTTATGGTTTAGGGTTTAGGATGAGGACTCGAAGCAAGCATGCCTAGGCACCGCGAGCCGGTTACTGGAGTTGAGGGCTAGGGGCTGCTTTCCAGAGTTTCCAGAGCCGACGTGGTTACAAGGCAATGTACTTTCGTAGCGGAGAAGGTTTTGCGGGAAGCTGCTAGGGTTGGGCCTTAGCTTAGCTTGGAGATGCTTGGAATCTTGCTGCTTTCTTTGTTCTGTCTGACTGGATCTGGTTCAGAGAACACGCACCCGTGAGACCTCGCCTGACTTGTCCGAGCTGTGAGAGCGTAAGCCCTCCGGCCCGAACTTTCCAAAACCTGACGGGAAGATCCCAAAACCCTAAAACCTAAACCCTGAGACCCTAAACCCTAAAACTCTAAACCCTAAACCCTAAAAAAACCCTAAAACCCTAAACCCTAAGACCCTAAACCCTAAAACTCTAAACCCTACACCCTAGCCCCTAAACTCTAAAACCCTAAAGCCCTAAACCCTAAGACCCTAAACCCTAAAACTCTAGACCCGAGGCCTTGAATCCGACAGAAACCCACAGCCCGACCTATCGCCCCCCGAGGTGGAGACGACCATGGCCGACCAGTTTCATGGATAGCAAATGGGAGAACTTTAAACTTTTTGGCTTTATATATTAGATCTATCCCAAAAAGTTTGAACTTTCTTGGGCCTCGTGGTTGAAGAAGAGAGGTTTCATGGATATCAGCGCAAGCTGCCTTCCCGGGAGCAGCTGAAAGGGGCCTCCTGGATGGGATATGCGGCTTTGGACTTCGGGCTCAAGGCTTAGGGAACACTGAACCCTAAAACCGTAAAGCCTAAACGTGAGAGTCTTGAGTCAAGTTTAGAGTTGATGAGAAATTAGAATTGAAGTGCTATCCGCTTTTGGACTTAAGGGTGCGGAGTTATTAGAGTTTAGGGTTTACGGATAGACTTAGGGTTCATGGGTTTAGGGCTCATCGTGTGGATCGCGGAGTCTCTGGGGCCTTAGTAGGTTAGGACGGGGTTACTAGGTAAGGGTTTCGGGTTTTGGGTTAGTAGCCCAATTAACCGAGCTATAATAACCCTAAACCCTAAACCCTAAACCCAACTATATTATAACAACACAAAAACGGGCCAAAAAAGAGGTTCCCAGTCAGGGATTGATGCGGAGGATCCATGCTCCTTAGTGTAACTAAATCTACGAAAAAACCCACAACTTTATTCTGATGATTTAGGGTTTAGGGTTTAGGGTGGGTTTAGGGTTTAGGGGCCCCTGCAATGTGACGGTTATCCCATGCTTGTGCAACACATGCTTTGGGATTCCACAGCGAAAGGAATCCCACAGAGACACACACGCGCAGGCACGAGACCGACAAAAGATATCATCGCAGAAGGCCTGATCGTTGAGCCCTAAGCCCTAGACCCCAGAAAACTTAGAGCCCGGAAGCTTGCAATATAGGGACCTGAATCATTACCAAGATCATTCTCAGGTTTCCTTGCTATCCCTACACTACAATATACCCCATGAAAAAAGCCTTGGAAAACGATCCCAATCTTCTGCCTGAAGCTCCAAATTCTGCTCAGGCTTACATCTGGTTCGACTGGTTCTCGGTACCTCAGGTCGTGGGTGCCACGCCAGAGAACAGGGAGACGGTGTTGCCTCTTGGCTGTTTTGCTTTCGTGGCTGGTAGAAGGGTATCATTAGGGTCTTCTTAGGCCTTATACTTTAGGGTCTAGGGTTTGGGGCGATGTAATAGGGAGCCTAAACCGTTATGATTCCATTCCCTGGGCTTTCGGATTAAGAAGTAGACCACAACATATCCTAAAACCCTGTTCTAATCCATAAGGCCCCTATATGAGAAATATGTCTTCCATCAGCAAGACTGTAAGGGCGGTAAGGCTTTTGGGCTTGGGGTTTACACGCTTAGAGCTTCAGGTTTCCACGGGAAAACGTTTAGGATTTCTTTGGTTTCAGGTGTAGGGTGCGGGCTTCAGAGATCGGACAGGGGAGTCAGAATCTAACGCGGGCGACCGACTGCCGATGCACAACACCCTGCAGTACCTCCGGTACCGCAAACTAACGAGGTCATGGTATATTCTAAATTCCAAGTTTCACAGGATTTTTGACCAACAGCAGCAATGTGACTTGCCACAGCTCCTTCAGCCCCTGGTTTGCTGAGGATTGCCTCCCGTCGGGCCATCCGATCCATCCCCGCGTATGTGGACGCCTCGCAGGTGGGAAGTTATCAAATCCGCCGTTTTGGGAGTGGGCTTTAGAGGGCTTCCGGGTTAGGGGACACGGTCACAGCCCTGTGCAGACAGCTTAGATCCCTCAAATAACTCTACATTCCTAAACTTGATACACCCCTAGGCAGCCCCTAAAGGTTTCCAAGTGGCGAAATCCCAGGTCTTCGTGGCGCTGGTGCCGCGCCTCCCGCACAACGTCACAGGCGCGATGGGATTCTCATATAGCCCTCTAGGAACTGCAGTGATCTTGACAAGACCAAGCTGCTGGACAACGAGGCCTGCTGTAAAAAAAGCTAGACTTTCTACATAATCTCCTCATGACGAGTTAGGGTCTATTCCTTAGCTGAGCTCTGTTGGCACCGGCTTTTTTGTTTCTTCGGGTGTTCAGACAGTAGTTAGCTTAGGGCTTGTTCTTTGGCTCTGGCTGGACTCAAGGGTTGTGGCTACTGGGGATCCTTTGGTGGCTCCGGGCTCATTTGTGCCTGATATGTCTGATTATCTGTCGATCTACCTATCTACCTGGCTATCTATCTACCTATCTATCTATCTATCTATCTATCTATCTATCTATCTATCCATCTATCTCTATCTATCTGTCGTTCTGTCTTTCTATCTGTCTATAGGTCTGTCTTTCTATCTTTCTTTCTGTGATTTCTAGCTATCTGTATGCGTATGTACATACATACATACATACACACACACACACATACCTACACACACATAAACACATACGTACTTACATGCATACATACGTTTCGCTTTCACCTTCAAACGCAGAGTCGAGTCGGGCGCAGCCTCAGACGTGCATTAATTAGGAGTGACCCGGGTGAGCAGAGGAAGGACCCTGAACAAGTTGGAGAGGATGAGAACTACTGCTACTACTACTACTGCTG